AAAATATTGCACTGTGTGCAAGCACTTTGTTAGGCACTGAGAGTTTGGCATGAACAAAACAGACACACTGCTCATACGGACTTTATTGCTTCTCTAATCTCATGGCGGGTTATGGATATTGTGGCACTGTGTATCAGGCTGCTGCTTATACAGCAATGCTCTTGGTTAGCTTTCCCAGTAAGTACCCTGATACTATGTTAATGGATACCCTTTGCATTGAAATTCACATAGGGTTTGTCTGAATGGGAAATTATGTTCTGTGGTTTTCTAAAACAGTTAATGAAATTTGAATACGTGACTCACTGGATGCAGTTTTGAAAGGTAAGGATGTTCTACATATGCCATTGATTTTATGTTATGTTTCTTAAAGAAAGGTTCTAACTTTGGATTCATTTTCCTGTGGTTCTGTTAGAGACTTAATGCATTAAAATTGGAAGAGAAGGCAGAGACTTATTAATTTGAGGGTCTGACAGTTTTATTTAAAAAACTTTTTTAGCCAAAAGAAAAAAATGAGTTATCATTTCTGATCTTCCCTGAGTAACCTTGGATTTTAAATAGCCTTTAACAGCTACAGCCAGAGAGTACTTTTTAACAGTCAGTTGTGCTTTGTTTGGATAATGTAAAATGACAGGCTAGCACTTTTCAGTTCTTGGCATAGTCTAAAAATATTCATGCCATCTGAATGGTTTCCCCGTGGATTAGAGGTGAAGAGGTTCTACAGCAAAGGTTCAGGCATCCGGAATGGTTTTATTTTCAAATGTTAATTCTCATCATTTTTGCAATGAATACTAGGAAACCACGAGGGAGCTATGTGAGTCTTTTCACAATTAATTGGCTTAATCTGGAGGAGCCTTTAGGAGAAGCTGCCGAAAGAATAAGGAGCCTGGTTGATGAGGCCTGAAATTACAACAGCCATTGATCAAGGGTCGGTTACATTGCTTCCTAACCTTCAGACTCTTAATAATAAGGAGAGTACCCAGCCGGCGTGGCTCAGTAGTTGAGCGTCAGCCTACAAACCAGGAGGTCACGGGTCGAATCCCTGTCAGGGCACTTGCCCAGGTTGCTGGCTGGGGCATACAGGAGGCAGCCAATCAATGATTCTCATCATTGATGTTTCCATCTCTCTCTCCCTCTTCCTTGCTCTTAGAAATCAATAAAAATATATTAATTTAATAAATAAGGAGAGTAAAAATTCTAATTTGGTTAAGACCCTTTTTGGAGAGCCAAAATACACAATATCCACTTTATCCTGTCATTCCTTTTATGTGGATAAAATATGATGCTATTTTTATTTAAAATGGGAAATGGAAATCTGAAAATGAGAAGGCGCAGGGATTGAAGCCCAGTGCTCTTGGCCACTCTCTCGTGTCGTCCACTATGGAATCCATTGCTCCCGGCCTCTTGTTTCTCCTCTTCCTTAGTCCTCTCACTCATTAGGTTTTAGGATTAGTTTCAATATCTCAGCTCCCTCCAGTGAATCATTCTTTACTCAGTCTTGAGTTTAGTTCATTCTTTAAAAAATCATAAAACAGGATTTTGAAAAGCATACCAAAGTTTGCTTTTGAAGCTCTTCTTTTTCCAGAACTGATAAGAGAATTAAATATAAAGTCATCTCTTTGTGGATAAGTCAGAACTGATGGAGGATTTGGTTTTAGAAGTTGCATGCACAAATTGCAATGTAGTGCAGATATGACAGTATTCATCAAAGCTTATCTTCATATAGTACCTTTCTCTGCCTGCGAGTCATTCTCACAAATTGAGACTGAAGGAAGTATGACAGCCAGAGGTTGGAATTGTGGCTCCACTGTGTGACCTTTGGCAATTACTTAACCTCTCTGAGCTTATTCTGCTATAAAGTATAACCTATTTCCAATATTCTTGTGAGAATGGACTTAAGCTTGTTTGTACAAAATACCAGGCAAGCAGTAATTTGAATTTATTGTTATTTGATATTTTTGTTAAAACTTCTTTTTTTAAAAAAAAATATATTTTATTCATTTTTTACAGAGAGGAAGGGAGAGAGATAGAGAGTTAGAAACATCGATGAGAGAGAAACATCGATCAGCTGCCTCCTGCACATCTCCCACTGGGGATGTGCCCGCAACCCAGGTACATGCCCTTGACCGGAATCGAACCTGGGACCTCTCAGTCCGCAAGCCGACGCTCTATCCACTGAGCCAAACCGGTTTTGGCTTTGTTAAAACTTCTTAACAAAATTTTAAAAATAATTTTATACTTGACATTACAATAAAATGAAGGCCAATTCAATGCTTTAAGTATTTGTATATGAAAAGTTAAAATTGTGCTTTACAGTTAAGATCACCAAGCATTTCTTGAATATTCACTAAATGCCAGGCAGCGTTGTAAGTGTTGGGAGTGCAGGGTAAAAGGTATGACCCTAAACTCAGTGTGCAGAGCCTGGCGGAGGAGGAGATAAATACACTGATTCGTAGAGTGAATGCTGTGGTTAATGAATGGGAGTTGGGTGGGGCAGGGGTCATAGGAGGAAGACATGAGGGAATCTTGAAGGAGAAGGTGAGAAGCACAAGTTTCTCAGGAGAGAGCTGGGAAGGGGTTCTCCAGGCAAAGGAACAGAGGAGAAGAGAGGGATTAGACACTGGCAGCCACTTGGCACGCCGAATAAGTTTTTATTTTTCCTGGAGCTATAACAAGGTCCCAGACCATGAAAGGCCTTATGCTACAATGTTTGCATTTTATTTTGATGTTATTTTGGGGAAGCATTTGAAAGATTTTGTGCCAGCGAATGACATAACCAAATATGTCACTGAGAAAAATGTACTACATCAGTTCTCTTGATTGTATTTCACTGTTTCGTTCTGGTTCTTACTAGTTACGCCCTGAATCGACTTCCATAGCAGAGGACATAATGATCTTGTTCAAACTAAGACTATAGTCACAGCGATGTTAGGCACTGTACATTCATGGACATTGTTGAAAGCTATAAAAATTGTCACACAGATCTTTAAATTTTAGTAGCTGACAGCAGTGAGACACATAGCTCATCACATCTGACAATCTCCATTTTTAAGGCACTATAGCCTGAGGCCAGGTGCTTTGGGCACTGCCCAGGACCCTCAGCCTTTTAGCACACTTGGCACGAGGACCTCAGGGATGTTGGCTCCAGTGCGTGTCTCACATGGTAAGGTAATGATCCTTCACCATAAGTACATTGTTCTTGACAGTGAGCAGTAAGGAACCACCGGTTGACGTGCTGTACGTGGCACGTGACCCAGTTTCTTTCTGCAGCCTGACTTAGAGAAGCAAGAATAGGCCCTTCACCCTTGCTGCAGACAGGTAACAGCTGTCTCTACTCACTGCCTATCTCACCCCATTTCTGGCCACAAGCAAGAATCAGGTTTGGCCCTAACCGGTTTGGCTCAGTGGACAGAGCATCAGCCTGCGGACTGAAAGGTCCCACGTTGTATTCCAGTCAAGGGCATGTACCTTGGTTGTGGGCATATCCCCAGTAGGGAGTGTGCAGGAGGCAGCTGATCGATGCTTCTCTCATCGATGTTTCTAACTCTCTATCTCTCTCCCTTCCTCTCTGTAAAAGAAAATCAATAAAATATTTTTTTAAAAAACAAGAAGAAAAATCAGGTTAGGAGTCCCTCCCTCTGAGTAGAAAACCAATGGTTTTCTTGATTGTGCCCTGGCTGTTCTTAGGTTTCTTGCCTTGGTTTCTAACCTCTGTAGGGAGTCACCAGGGTCTGCCCTTTCTTCCCCTCCAGGTCAGGGGCAGTACACATTTTCTTCTCTGTGAGCCAGCCTTCTGCCCAAGAAGCTCTGTTTGACCTTGTCCTTGATTGTCCTCAAATCTTTCAGATCTGCCTACACTCCTAACTCTGACCCTGCTTGGTGCTAATTTCTCTAAACATAGATTTATAAAAGCAGCAAAAGAATGTCACCTAATGGTGGTTTGGAACAAGCCCAATTCTATAACAGAACAAAGTAAGAGACATAGTGTAACAGGGGTAGGGGTCATGTGGTTGGGAGTCAACTTCCCATTTATGGAATTGGATCTACCGATGAAGGTATCGGTGTGCTGTTTACTGAGCGAGGTGCCTCACACACATCAGCATTGCAGCTCTTCCAGAGAGGTTTCCGTGCAGCCGTCTCTGCTCATAGACCTGCTCAAGATGCACAGCTCTTCAGGGAGGTTCTGGGGGTCACCTCCAGATGTCTTTCTGCCTGTGCTCCTTTCACCATCCAGCCCTGCCTCTCACAGTGAATCACCAGATAACGTGAATGTTTAGTTAAATAATGCATTACCCCGGTATTATGCTTTGAGGTTTATAAAGTGCTTTCATGTACATCTCATCTGACTTGCTGAATAACCCTTTTGAGGTAAGTGTAAATATCTGTTTTACAAGAGCGAAAACAGAGGCTCACTAAGATACAGTGATTGGCACAACATGAAACAACTTGTGACCCACCAATGTTCATAAACTTTAAAAAAGTCGAAGGGTTCTTGAACCCTTTAAGTGGGGTATGCTTGTATTGTTCACCCTAATGTGCGTAGGCACTGTGTACTGTTTGTTGCAACAGCTGAAGACTTACTGATAACATTGATCCCCAAAGGGGAAAGGTGTGACGTTCCTTTTAGCCCACTTCTAAGTTTCCTCTGCATTAACTGTGGTTTATTCAGACTCTCTATGTGATGCTTATTTTTTCTGCCTGATTACTTCATGTACATTCCACATATGAACATACTGAATTAGATATTGTATAGCTACCTCACAGGATTGTTTTTACATTAGGCAACAAACAAAAAAAATCTTTTCCGTGTGCTTTTTTTCACATTGAAAATATTCTTTGCTTGAGTCTTCATTAAGCTCTTAAGGCTGATATGACTACGATGAAAATATATTGATGTAGTATTTTACTTTGTTTTTATACGTTTTCTCTTATCCCCCCATCACAGTGATTGATTTATGCATTTTACTATTGGAATCTTTATTTATAGCTACTTTTCCTTTCAGGTTTTGTGACGAAGGAACCTGTACAGACAAAGCCAACATCCTGTATGCCTGGGCAAGAAATGCTCCCCCTACCAGACTCCCCAAAGGTACCTCTGGGGCCTCTTGGACAGTCTTACATTAATCTGCTTGATTTCTGATTCCAAAGTACTTTTTGTTATATGTCCTTTCCAACAGTTGTGGACAATGTTCCATTCTGCAGTTCCATACTAAAAAAGTACCGGTATGGCTTGCTTTGTATTGAAAAGGTTTCATTTAGGGAGTTACTCTTTTTCCCTGTAATTTGCCCACATGACAGTTTAGATAGAAAACAACCAAGTTCACCTCAAGACACCTTTGGCCTCGGGCACATTGGTTCTGGCCAGCAGGAGAGGCTGGGGCCCGGACAGCCGGGAATGAACTGAACTGCTGCTTCAGCAAACAGATTATTTTTATAGCCCTGGGACCTGGGTATTTAGTAGGATGCCAAACCTCACTGGCTTTTTCTGACTTCACCTCTAACTATTCATAGCTTCCAATGTGTGAGTGAATTACCAGACTCTGTTTTATTACCTGAATGTTTCTTAACATCAAAGCGAAAGCATCATTCCATTACAGAATAGGTCTGCCATGGTGGGGGTGGGGGGAGCGCGGAAGGGGGCTTGCTAAGTACATAGTCCTCTCCTGCCTCAGTAACTCCTGTCGGCTCTAACTGGCGTCTGGTTTGCTTTGCTTCAGAATCCTCTCTATCGTTTGCCAGGCAGCCACCACCAAGCAGGTTTGGAAATTAATAAGGGTGTCCATCATGAATTTGTTGACATTTTAAAGACCCATGAGTAGAGCAGAAAAAAAATAGTTCTCCACCTCTCAATATTTTCTCTGTAGATAATTTTTAGCTTACTAGCAAACTCTATTAATAGTAAGACTATTAGGAACCCTTCAGAGTCCAGAAATTTATTGGCATACTAGAGTTTTTAATCTAGCTGGTAACAGTTTCCTCAATAACATTTTTGCAGATACCTGTTTTCATATGGAAAGAAAAGCAATTTCTCTGAGAGGCTCCTGTATTCAGTCAGAAAATAAAAATGAATATGAATATATATAAAGTAAAATGTCTTGCATAATCATGGAAAGAATTTTGTTTTGCTTTATTCTGTTTCTTTCAAAATGAGCGAATTGTCCTCTTAAAGTGTAGGTGGTTACCCTGGTTCTGAGGAGGGAATTATGCACAGAATTCTATCAGAGCTTTGAGAGGGATTGAAAGGTTATATTAGAAGTTATCAGAAAATGCCTAGTTTATTTTCATTTTCATATTATAATTTCATGTGATATGCTATTTTATTTCCCTTTGGATTTCACAGATCAGTAACCTGAGATTAGCTCCATTTTAGGCTTCCATTTCTAAAATATTAATTTACCACCTTTTGCAAATCTTTAGGTGTTGGATTCAGAGTTGGAGGAGAGACTGGAAGTAAATACTTTGTACTACAAGTACACTATGGGGACATTAGTGCATTTAGAGGTAAGTTTTGAAATATTGGAACTAAGCACAACTTTCACTACTATATTGTTTAAAATACATATACTATTATCCACTTAATAAAAGGAAGACTTGACAACACCCTCGGGGCCCACTAGGAAACAACTGTTTTTGTTTCTTTTCATTTGGGACTGTTGGGAAAATAACTTTTATTTTGAAGGGGGTATTGTCTTATGCATCCCACTGTGCTTTCTTCTACACTGACTTCAGGGTGCTTTGGCTTTTCAATGTATTATTTTATCTACCTGCTTCCATTAGGAGATTCCTTCCAAGCAGCATGGTCAGAGAGTATAGGGACTAGTAAATTATTTAATTCTGTAAGCAAGCCCTTGGGAGCGTCAGCAAGATTTGCAGTACCAGGGAGGTTCTCAAACCCTCAGGCGCATGTCAGTGCCTTATCTGTAATCCACACATTCCACTTAATGAACTCATCCACTGACCACTGTGTTCCTGCAAAAACCACCCACCCCTTAGACACCCGCTGCTGAGCATCCCCTAGGCACCTGTTGCTCTGCCCGTGATTGCTGTGCACTTCATTGAAATGCTCCTTTTCTTGTTATAGAATCATGAACATGAGGAAGGGGCCCTGTTCCCAAGGCAACCGGGTCTGGTGCTTGCTATCTCTTCTGCTGTATTTAGTTAAACTTCAGCTGAATTCTAGGTTCACACTCCTTTGTTCATGGGAGTGTAAACATTGAGCAGGCTTCTCCTTGCCTTGTCAGTTTTCATACCGTCTTGCTGACTTGCCCATATTTCCCCAAGTTCTCTATTTTAACATTATATTCCTATTAACTAACCGGATACATTTCCCTCTCTCAACATATTATCTTTCTGTCCCACATGTAAGTCTAGAAGTACGTGTCCATCTACACCTACTAATGTCCTCTGGGGCCTTAGCTGGGACATTCCACAGATTCTCAGCATCCAGAACAGGGACAATAAATGTATCTTCCTCTGGGAAAATATATATACTATTCTTTCCTCTGTTGGAAAGAATACTTTTATGTCATTGAAAAATTACAATTAGTACTTCAATTAGATGTATCATCAATTAAGCAAGCTCCTGTGGACCAGCCCATGAATCCAGTGTCCAAATAAAACTTGTTTTCATATTAAAACATGCTTTGAGTTATATAAAAATAGCTTTTCATTTTGGGAACAGAACCTAATCTTACATTGTTAACTGTAGTGCTAAGACAAGGTTTTGTTGAAAACAAAGGAATAATTAATGTTGTGTTTAAGGAACAAAGACAGAAATTATGTGCTCTAAAAATTCACTGTGTTGGTGTCAGAGTGCTGACTTCTAAAGCATTGACAATACTGTCATTTTTCTAAAAAGGCAAAGAAGGCTTTCCCTGACCACACAACTAACATATCCACACATGCTCCCCGCTCCCCGCTCTTCATCCCTCTATAGAACCCCTAGACTTTCATTTTCAACCTAATTCCTATTAGCTTTGTAGTCCTAGCAGATACTGCATTGGTGCTCTGGGGAAATGGATGATATATACGATTTCTTAAAATATATTACTGTAAGAATTCAGTTTAACTTAATTTATTACTGATGAGGAATTTGGGCCTGGGGATTATTATGCTAAGCGAAATAAACCAGTCAAAAAAAGACAAATACCATATAATCTTACTAATATGTGCACCCTAATGAGTAAAATAAACTGATGAACAAAATAAACAGAGGCATGGATACATGGAACAGACTGACAGAGATCAGAGGGGGTGGAGGGACTAGAAAAAAGATGGTGAAGAGATTAGCCAAAGAACATAAATGTATAGCCTGTGTTGACGCAGACAACAGTGTGGTGAAAGCCAGGGGAGGGAGGGAGAGGGTTGGGTAGAGGTGGGCAAAGTGGGGGGAAATGGGACATCTCTAACAGTGCCAACAATATTTTTTTAAAAAAAGAAATTTGTAATTTATTTAATCTAGGCATAATTAAAAAGTATTGATAGTTACTAGTAAATATATATAAAAGATTGATGTGAAACTTGTATATTAATTTTTTATTTTTCACTTTTTTGAGAGTCATTTTTGTGAAAGAATGTATGAGGTAGAAAGATTACTGGTGCTGTAATTCATAGACCTTATTGTAATATAATGTAAATATAAACAATTTTTGTTCATGTAACTCACTCAGTTGTATTAGGTGTTATCTTGTGCCTTAAGTGATACATGTCTTAGAATAGTAAATAAACACATGGGAAAATATCAAATCTCACTAAAACAGTGAGAGATCATTTTACATTTATTAAATTAGGGGTGAGTGGAGATTGAATTCTAAATCCTAGGACTGCCAGGGTTTGGATGAATCTGGTACAGTTTGGGGAGCTTTATAAATTAGTGCAGTGTTTGGAAATGCAACTTTAGCGTATTATATACATTTTACATAGAACATTAAAATCTTGCCCTAGGCTTTTATTCTAAAGAAATAATTTTTTTTCTTTTTCTAAAAAATTATCTGCCTAACCATGCACCATTAACTATTAATATGAAAAACCAGAAGTTAACAAATATCCCTTAATAGGGGACTAGTTAAATAAATGTTATGACAACAAAAATAGCTAAGCATAAAGTTTTATATAGACTACATAAAAATACATGTATGCTTATATGTTTACAAGGATTATAAAGAAGAAGGAAGAATAGGGAACAGTTAATAAACATGAAAGACAGGATTGTGTGAATTTTTCCCCCTTCAGAATGTTTTAACATCATATTTTTAAATTCCACAAGTAGAAGCACTATGCTAAGTCCCTCAGTACCTGCCAGTGAGTGTATGCATTCCCTCCCCCCACTCTCCTGACAGAGAAGAGTTCATGTAAATCTCTATATGCCGGATTTGATTTATGTAAGGAGTGACTTGTACTTTTAAAAGTTTCTACACTGTGATTGTACACTTGCCCCCAGATGGCACCTAAAAGTGGAAAATAATTATATCATCATATCTTCTAATGATTAAAAATACATCATAGGTGTTATATATATATTATACATTCATACTTAATCATATTAGTATCAATGAAGATTTGAACTTAGCCTTGTTCAAACTATTGATGATGACATAAATTGTGCATCAGAAGCAGACTAAGGCTATGTGGACATTACTGCACTCTTCTGAAAAGTGGGGAGTATTTTGCGTAAGGGTAGGAGCCTTTTTCCATACAGGGAAGATTTTAGACAGGGGATATGTCTAGGACTTTTATTTAATGAAGCACCAACAGTGAAGGTAAAATTTCTTCTAAAATTTGTTGGACTGTGGTCAAGTATCAGGGAGAATATAACCTGAAGCCAAGTGGGTATGATCTCTATTAGTAGGAAAAAATTGGGTGTGAGTTCTGTGGGATAACATGCAATGTTTGTTTTGTTTGGGTTTTTGTTTGTTTGGGAAATTGCACAGAATGTGAAGCTGTAAAAACATCATTTATAAGTAGCCAACTTTATTAAATGCCATGTCAGTCGGAGTGTCAGACCTGTGCTGGGTATACTAACCTTTCTGGCCACGGGCGTTTCGTATATCCCAGCAGGGGAAGGAAAAACGAAAACAGAGTTTATAGGCAATTGTAGAAATGCATTCCAGGCCTGGAGGCTATGGAAAGGCAGTGGACGGGTCTGCCCGGAACGGAAGGGTCATCTGTGACAGGCGTCTTAGAGGATGGAACCAGAGCAAGGATTTGAATAGTGAACAGGAGCCCCCTGTAGACAGGGGAAGGAGAAGACACAATCCAGACAAAGGTAAAGGCATTGCGTCACAGACACAGGAGAGTGAAAAGCCTCATGTCCACAAGAAACTGGTGGTCATTTGGCGTTACTATGCAATGCAAAGAGGGAGGTGGCAAGAAATGAGAAGAGAGGTGAAAGGTGGGGACCAGACCATAAAGATTCTTGTTCAGTCCTGATTCTGAAGGCACTGAGTGTTTATTAGCCAAGCAATAACCCAATCAGATTTGCACTTCAGTTCTAGTCTTGAGGGCATGGAAATGTTACTACTGGCTTTACGAAGAAAGGACTGGGGCTCCAGGAGGCCAAGGTGAGCCAGGACTGGGGCCCTGGAAGGCCAGCATGAGTTCTATTTTTAAATGTAGGCTTTCTATAAATTACTATTCTGTGGAAAACAGAATGTAATCTAATTAGAAATAAGAGTCCCATATAGGCAAGAGCATAATACAGGGGTTAGATGATTCAACCAGTTGGGCTGGCAATGACACTTGCTGTTTTTGTTACCCTCACCAAGTTTCTAAACCTCCCTGCTCACCTCATCTATAATGTGGGATCATAATGGTTCTTATAAAGGTACCTGTAAGTACTCAGTGAATGTTAACTAGTGTCATTATAGTCCCTGTGAAAGACTTAAGGGGACATAAATTCTCCCTAAATGCATAGTCATCATAGTTGCCCATAATATGAAAAGTATATTGGTTACCTTTTAAGGGTATTGTAATTTCTCATTATGTTTAGACAGGACCGTGTTCACGTCTGTCCCATTGCCGGTAGAATTTTCCTAGTTTTGGTCTGTGTGTCCTGTTTTGTTATTTGTAGTTCAGTTATACAAAGAAACTACAAGATCAAGTTCCTGTACTTAAGGAGATTAGAATAGTGGGAACTAGAGATTCCTCTTAGTCCTCTTTTTCTTTCTATGTTTTTTTCAATAATCTTGTTCCAAAGAGACAATTCTGAGATTGCTGCAAAAATTTTCCTCATTTCTTCAGGATGTTTGGCCCAAGGAAATCTTACAAAAACTCTTGGCCTCTCCTTTCCAGAGTGCCTGGCATTAGCTCACTGGTCTCCAACAGTAACTCATTCTCAAACCGGAAATCCGGTTGGAACTGAAGTTGGAACTGATGTTCTTAAAATTCCCGTGCGTGTAGGCTCTGACTCTCCTTGGGTTGGCAAAATGTCCATGCTGCTTACTATGCTTAACCCTCGGTTATGCATAGGAAAACTAACAGGTGTTCCTTGTGAAGGATACAGA